GCCAGCATGTCATCCATCTGGCATTGACAGTTCATTTATGGCATTGCGTTGTGAATGTAACAACCTATGGTCATATATTACAACAAGTTTATTGGACAGACGGCAGACCTTATGCTGCTCTAATGACAAGATTTCCATGCATTACCTTTGGCAACAACTAAAGGCCAGATTTACATAGGCCGCCTGACGACGGATGGCATCTAAAGCGTGTGGCGGCTGCGTCTGGCACACGTGCAGTGTTAACAAAAAGAGCATGTCGGGTGTGTGTGTGTATGTACACTTTTTACACCTGTATAATGTCCATGAAAAATCTTAATTTTCATATGAATTAATTTACAATGCCAAATATTTAAAAAAAGTTTAAACTTAAATGTGAAAAGTTGTAACCAGAAAGCAGTCACGTGTAATTTGTTTACCCAAGAGAGAGAGAGAGAAAGAGAGAGAGAGAGAGAGAGAGAGAGAGAGAGAGAGAGAGAGAGAGAGAGAGAGAGAGTACGGTGGAAAGATACTGCCCTTCAACTGGTTCACTTCCGAAAATTATTTCACAAGTTAAGAAGTCAAAAAAATTACTACAGTGCTTTTACTTTGAAAAGTATGTTTAAACTGTACTGAAATATGTGGATATGACTACCAATCAATCCTTTTCACTGTCCTCTTTTGCTAGGAGCTTGTGGGAAAAAGTAGGCAAGACCACGACTCTCTAGTGAAGCTTCGACGGGTTCTGCACCTTTTGTTCAGGCGTAGAAGCCCCAGGGGTGTTGCTTTTTATTCAAAAATCAAAAATGTGTTCAAACGTGGTTAATTTTTAAACTGTAATGACCTGTTGAGAGCTTGACCCGAGGGCACTCCACTATCATTCTGACCTATTGCATGCCCTATTGAGCAGTCAATAAACTAAGCTAGTAATGTTATGCTGTTTGAAGTAAAGCGAACCTGAGCGGGTCACGTCACCAAAGCATCTGAGTAGTTCGAACAAATTTTCAAATTTCGGATAAAAAGAGACAGCCCTATTGTCTGCTTGTATCACTTCATCTCCTTTTGGTTACCCATGAATGTGTAGTGCCTCACAATCTATCACTAATATAAGGAAAAGATTATATCATAATGTTTATTTTTAGTAATAGTGATCTTGATTACAAAATTTGGCCATGGTTCAATTCCACCTGTTACTAGGAGAATGCATATCCGCCAAGTAATTAGCCAAAACATAATGTGCTTCACAAATGGCAATGCTGTTATTGTGCCAGACCCAAACAAAGAAGAGTTATAGCAGGGGTAGGCAATTTGCAGCTCCGCTGCTGCATGACAATGCTCACACAGTGATGGTTGGGCAAACCTGAGGAAGCAAGCAAAACGTGTTTTCTCTTAAATAAATCACAGTAAAGTCATTCCAGTGTGCAGTGGTTAATTCAGATTTTTTGCTCACACAATGATGTTTATATATAGCATGTTCACCATCTCAGCTAACATTTGCCAATTGGCAGTAAAACTAGTGATGTTGCGTCCATTAATATTGTGTATGTGGTGATACCAAGTCTGAAACGGTATTTAAATGTTGATTAAATATGTATCAGATGCATTAAAATAACAGTTGTAGCCTACTTAATATGACACACCTTATTTTTCATCATAAACAATATTTGACTGAGTACAGACACCGGCTTGCGGAGAGCACACAAACCTAACAACAGACACGTTTATTTTGGCTTGTTACCAAATTACTCATAGAATTAACATTAATTAGCGTCAGCCGTAATGACGTTTTACTGCCAATGATTTTCCAGCTAAAAATGAGAGGCTGATACTTCAGTATTATGTACACTACTCTTTGCTCATAAAACTTAGCAATTATTTTTCACATTCAGATACTAATTTTCACTAGTATGCTTTGCCAACATCTTGGACAAAGTGGTGGACTGACTGAAAGACCGACCGACTGATATTGCCATCCCTAGGGCCAGGCACTAGCGTGGCTACAGAGTAATCACTTGCTTCTTGGCCCATGTCCTGACTTTCTAATACATTTAATTGAAATCTGTTAAGTAGATATCCTTGTAAATAGCACACACTAACAGACAGAGACACAACTGGGACCAAAAAAATAACCTCCTTGACGAAGGTAAGTAATATTGAACTGAAGGAAATTTATTACTATGCTGTGATAATGAGTATCTCCATATTGCTAGGTAAATTGAACCCATTACCTGGAGGACAAATAATAAAGTGACACATTTAACATGCCATTGAGGGCACATTCCATTTTACCCACTAATAACCCCTGCATCATAATTACATCTAGATTTGGTTGTAAGCTCTATTACATTTGCTCAATTATCCATTTCCTCTGATTGCCACGGTCCCTTTTGTAGTTGCAACAATGAACAAATTCTCTGCAGCTGTGTAATATTTTAGACAATCCCCGTTTTCCTACGTAAAGATTTAAAACTGTAAACAACATTTTATTTTGAAATATTTGAAAGTGCAGAGAAGAAAACAATGCCTTTAGCAGAGAATACTAATTGCTTCAACAGGTTCCTGTGTCCTCTCCCTGGAGCTTCCAATGACAAATTGATTACATATCAGTCACAGTAAAGAGAAGAAGGGATGAGATGAGGGGGTAAAAAATATATTCCTTCTTTTGGCTCCTGTTGATCTGATATTGATTGCCTGACATTGGTCAAATATCCCACTCTGCATTGCGTATATAGATCCTGATTAGGTGTAGAGAGGGTGGGGTGGAGCGGTGGGTAGTCTGGCAGCACAGGGCACATGAGAGAGGCTGATTAGGTCTGTCACCCACCAGGGATGTATCATTGATCTGAATGTCTTTTTCTTTGATTGGGATGAAACAGATGCTTTGATTTTTTAACATTGGCATACCTACACTGTTTCTGCACAGGCTGCTCCTAATGTATGCCAAGTCATGAGGCTGCTGTTTCACAATGGTTTGCATGTTGGCTCTTGTATAGTGTAGGGAACTGTTGTAAAAGCTTGTTCATGTTTTCCTCCCTGCAGTGAGCCTTTGTTCATCTCTAAATTGAACGTTTCAGTTGTGGAAGAACATGTTCTTTTGGCTTTACAATCCGAGCATATTGCCCCCAAAACTCTGTCAGGAGGACCACAGAGAGTTTAATCAGCATCAGTATATAGATCCAAAGTTATTCTCAGTGTCACCCAGCTACTTTTCAAAGTAAAAAAAGGAACCCTGTAGAATCAATGCAGGGACTCAGTCGCTCAGGAATATTATGAATATGCTGTCTGAGATGTAACAAAGGTGCACAGTGTCCGGAGCTCTTACTTCACTGAAGTCTCGCTTTGCAAAAGGGAGAGTAGCCTTGTTTCCAGGGACTAAGAATAATTGGTGTGTTTATACAATCAATGGTAGAGAGCAGCCAAGCTTCTCTAGGGAAATATGAACACTACAGCGCTACCACCTGCTCCTGCCTCTAAACCAAGCTGTGCATTTCACAAAGAGCTATATGACTGGTTTCAGATTGTGTCCTTTGTTATTTATGTTTATTGCATTCACTATGCAATGTTATACACAACTGTATTTGTCAATAATTGTCAAACTGAGGCATTGTTTCATGTCATTGGTTCTTGCATGTTCTACACTGTCTTTTGTTTAAGATACGCTTCCTTATGTAATTTGAAGTACTGTATCTATTTTGTATTTTGACATCAAGTATCTAGTACGACATGCATCTACTTTATAATGGTAATTGCCTGGTTGAGAACATAAGAAATACTCCCTTATTGCGATGCTGCTTTCATGTTTAATACTGCCACATGGATTGTGGTCAATCCCATTTTACTAAGTGCAGTCTTACCAAAAAGAACCACATCTTGTTAAACAAAAACCTAAACATATTATGTCAAGAGAAAAAAAAAGCTGTGTTATCTGCCGTGGCATTAAAGGTTAGACATATTGGGAAATACGCTTGTTTTGCTTCTTGGCACAGAGTTTAATGCAAAGGGCAAAACCACATTCCCAGTTAGAGGACAACAAAATGCACCTACCAACACCTCTAAAATCTCACTACTCAAAATGTTTTACCTTAGTGCGAAAGAGTTTAAAAATAACAATTCACTGGCTCTGTCTCTGGTGGTTGCCTGGCAACTACTTAATTTGTGAGGTTCAGAGGTGGTGGTAGGCCGACTTTGTTATTCTTAGACTTAGCCAGGCTAGCCATTTCCCCGTCCTTGTGCTAAGTTGCTGGCAGTAGCTTTATCTTTAACAGATACATTTTGGGTCACTTCTGCAAAATGAGTAAATTGTATAAACTACAACATAGTGGTCAACTTCTTTGTTGTCTTTACTTTATCTTCATTGGAGGGTTGCTGTGTATTTGAAATCATTTCAAGGAACCTTTTATGCCTATAAGCTAAAACTTAAATACAAAAAATAAAAATAACAAAATAGCAGGTACTTCCTAGTGATGGCTTCTCCAGCCTCCTGCTTTCAGTTGTTTCAGTTATTCATCTTCTTCTACACTGAAAAAGTCTTCATTTTACTTTTATTTCCCTATTCCTTTAGGTCATAAGTAACCTAGATGCAGTCCTGTGTGGCTCAACAGGTCAGGCATGGCACTAAGACTGCCCAGGGCCATGCATTTGTGTCCCATGGGGGCATCCCTGAAATCATATACAGTCCACTTTGTAGGTCATCTTCATTCATTCCAGTTAAAATATAATAATATTTTATTAATATATATTTTATTATATAATGGTGAACAGTTTGCGAGTAACCTTTAAAGTCGTCAAAATCAGAAACAATGAGCACATTAAATGCTAAATAGCATTTAGGAAGAATTTTGAAAATAGTTTTTTTTATCTAACATTTTTAGTGCCTTTCATAGCGTGAAGTTAACTCGATAAAATCTCACATATTAAAGGGCCAACAGGACCTCACAAACATGGCAAGGAGTACAGTGCAAGACATACAGTATCAACTGCACCACACACTTCCTACATTAGAGGAAGGTGACATGAGTTCTTACCTTTGTAGAAGCACTCCTCGCTGTGCATGATGGTAATCCTATGTCCTCTGAGACAGGAGGCCCGGTGGAGCTCACAATGGTTCTGGTACAGCTTCCCATCTGAACCGCACACAGGTTTATAGTGCGGTTTACAGTGATCCAAGCACTTACACTCCCCTTGGTCAGTATCATGGTTAACCACACAGTGACGCCCCAAGCCACAGTACTTGTGTTCACATGGACCTGGATAGCCATTGTGTCCCATAAAACCTGTGGGAAAAAACACACAGAAAAAAGAGTCACATTTTTGTCTGACCAATGATCTACATGTGGATTTTATTTAGGGCCACACACTATGGTAAAAACATCATAATACATTTTGGCAGATATTGGGATTGCAATATGATTCACAATTAGTGTGGGAATGATAATTTTTGCATCACAAATTTGATTTTCACAGAAAAAACCTATGAAAATCAATTTTTGGGGATGGATGGGATTTTTCTCAACTCACAAAGTGACAGTCAAATCCATAAATTATTCAAGTCAAATTCACAACAAAGCAACCACAGTGTGAATGATTTAAAAAAAAAGTATGTTCACTTCAACCAAAATATGCAATGCAAAGCAAAACATCTGTTGCGTCATTTGATATTTTTATGCGCACATGCGAGACTGCAAAGATAAGTAAATGTAAGTACATTTTGATCAAATAACTTTAATTAACTAGTAGAGAGGAACATGTTCTCTCTATGAGAGCATGTGTAATTATGATGTAGTCTCACATAAAGATCTGTCTGCATTTGCATAGAGGCTTTGACATTTTAAGGGCTATTAGGGCAAGTATACGACAATACTGCAAAATGAAGTGCACATGCCAAAAAAACTTGTTGCTATGATGTCAAATAAAATGTAACCTTGGTGGGTCTAGCTGTCATGTAATGTGTAGTGTATGTAAAATAAGAAAAAGACATCGCTTTGGGCTGCAACAAATGATTATTTCCGATACATATGCAGATTATTTTGTGGATTAATAGTCTGTTCCATAAAACATTAGGTAACTAATTTGTGTATAAAATATAAACCAAATTTGTTTCTCCCACAAAGTGACCTTTATAATGACGGGTGCTAAAAAATCATTGAGAATTCATTTGATCCAAGGGCTGAGGAGTTTAGGGGGTTTGAAATTAAAAGAAAATCTGATTGAAATGTAGATAAAGCGTCCTTGAGCAAGACACTTATTCCCAGCCTGCTTCTGGGGTGAAGTCCTGCAGCAGACCCTGAACTCTGACCAGTTTGTGGAGGAGGCAAGAAAAGGAGAATGTCTCTATGGGGATTAGTGGACTAGCGGGAAAAAAGGGTTAATAGCAGAGCCAAACATTGCAGCTTGTATGGTGTTTCAGCAGCAGTTGGGAGGAGAAATACTATAAAAAATCAAAAAAACTATGCTGCAGGATAGTGAGGATGACTTATTTTACAAAAGGTTTAATGAGAACAAGATTTTCTTATAAGAAATGATCAGTGTGATTTTCTCCGAGGACAGGATCTTGTTGTAGCCTGCCATTTCAACCTGTATGAACACTAATAGGTCTTGACAGGCCACAGGTCAGTCTGTACAGTAACCCATGAACCACATCAAATATATCGGCTTTCTAACAGCATCTTGCTCACTCTACTCACTCACCCTTTGGGATAGCCCTCAAGTGGTGTAGGGGTATGATGAGCAGAGAAAAAAGAACAACGGCTCTCACAGTTGCACTGTTACATAAAGTTAGGTACATAATGTAACGGACTGCTGGCAATGAGTACACAAAACGATGACTACTTGTGAAAAGGTCACTGTATTTATAAGTGTTTGTGTCCTTTAGAAGTAGTGCTGCCAGGATTATAAGATTACAATAAAAATATAACTAAGGTTTTCCTTTTTTATCGCATGACAAGCAAAGGATTTTTAATATCTCCAAACACACATCATTACATACAGACAACTGCTCCACTCTCTACCCTCCAGTTCAGTGTTGATGAATAAAAGCTCTGACACAGCCCCACAGCAAACAGCCTCATGAAATCTTTGCAATGAACACAATATAAAATCAAATAACACGCCTAATGCATATTAAGTAGCCACCATATGTTTTATCGTTATGAAAGGATTACACAGAGGGAGAGATCAGGGTGTCATAAGTTTGGCCTGAACTAATTGTGGTTGGCTAGAATCCCTAACATCAGCAAAGACATGTCGCAATGTGAGTTAAGTTTTCATCTTTTGCCAAATTTTAATCAACCATGTTCAAAACCTTACTCTGGAGCCTCTTAAGTTCAGAAAGATGATATTTTCTATCTCTCAAGTTAATGTCTGGCACACAAAATAACCTGTGGGGGCAAGATTTTTTATTATTTATTTTAAATAATCTTTTGTGGGCTCCTTATGCTACCTTACATTTGCATGAATTAATATCAGTTTTGATATTGTTGACATAAATCAAATGTGTAATGTGAAAGGGGTTGCTATTAGTGCCAAATCATCAACCACGGAGGATCCTCAACCACCTCTGCAGCTTTAGAAAGCTTTTTGATATTGTTGGGCCATTTTTTGTTTTGAGACTTGTACATTTACAGTATAACTCAGTTTTACCTGTGTCCAGCAAAATACACTGATAAACACATTGTATGCCACCTTCCCAGTGCTAAATGGCAGACAGATTAAGTCAGCGACAAGCTGTTGTAGGAGATAATACATTTAAGCCATACCCAGGATAGTTTTCTCCAGAGTTGCTGAAGACAAAAACAAAGCTGGGCTTACATTCATCAAGTGGCAAGAAACATGCCTCCAGATGGAATGATAATGTTGCTCTGTTTATGCTTGATGTGTAATTAGGCTATTAGGATATTAAGACTGTTTGCAAACATGTTAAGCCATAAATGCTTAAAAAGCTAGCACTATGATGGCTGTTATTTATTCATCAAAATGTATTCATGGCTTGGGAAACCTAGTCTTTGGTGTCATGTACTTTCTACACTCAGCCATCTTCACCAAACTCCTTCAGTGCTGAATAATGTCATAATACATATATGAAACAAAATGAGAATGTTCCTCATGCAACGCAAAGATGCAATGCAGATTAGGTGCACAGGACCGTAATTTGTTGCACTGCATTTATTCTAGATAAGAGTGTCCAACTGAACTATAAAACTGTCACGAAAAAAGAAAAGAACTTAACTGAGAAGCATACAGACTGGAATCTACAAACTTTACTCTCACGTTGCACACAATTTGTGTTTCACCACTGGCCAATAAATATTGACTAGAGAGTGATGCTTCACTGCATTAATTACAATCTATGATGCATTTGCCTTTTAGCAGAATGGTCTCCTGATATATAAACTCATCAAAAAAGCAAAGTGATCACCCAGTGTTCACAGATATGCATAAGCAAATAGTTATAGCAATGCATTAGAGAAATGGCTTTGCTTCTTAATTTACACATTGTGAAGTTAGTATTACAGTCCGCCTTAAAAACCAAATTCCAAAAGGAAACACTTGTTACTGTTGCGCTATTTATACCGTCAATTTCTCTATTTAATTTCTTGTATAATCCTGCAACCAGCAAAAAGCCACATAAATGAAGGATTTTGATTTTCAAGTAGGTTAATATAATCGTTTTAAGTTGATAAGAGTAGAGACTTATTGTATAATTTCGAAGCTTGCTGTGCACCACTGACAAATGAAATTTCAATATTAAATCCTGAAATGTCACTTTTGAGAGATAAGTGACTTTCAATTAAAACATGTTCATGAATATCTAAGCTAGGTTTTAGCAGTTGTACGATAGGGTAAACAAACTGACTTGTTAAGTGGTAAGCCTCATTCACATCCCTAACATTTCCCCACACACAGTCCTGCATTATCCTCTAGCCGTCACAGAGGATTTAGACGAGATACAAGTGTGTACACTGTGACCTGATTGGAGTCAGTCAATTTGCTAGTTTATTAAATCCCCGCGGTGCCCTGGCATAATGATTATTTAGTGAATTTGTGTCGCACAGCCAGGCATCCTCTGCCACCAGCAGGGTCAGCGAAGGGCACAGTCATTTGTTATCAGTATGCACATCCCACAGTCTGGTCATCAGCTGACATCAGAGACAAATGAGGGATTGGCCACAGCCATTCATTTATTGATGACCTCTTACTTTTTCAGAGCATGGACAGAAATACATGATGCTCAGTGTTCAATGTGAGCCTGGGGGTTGTTATGACGATTTTGAACTGTAACTGTGCACCATCTAGGAGAAAAGTTCACGGTAGGGCTGGAGGCAATGTAATTCAGTGTACTGCTGAAGGACACTTCGGCACAGCCAGACGACACAAAACAGTATGATATATTACAGAAAGCGTGTTATGATACAATACAGTACATGAATTGATGATGATGTCACAGGATGTGAAGTTGTGTAGTTCTGCTACCTACAAGAGAGAATTTTTACCCATTATTAAATGAGAATCTAAAAAAGCAGATCTAGGTCAACTGGACCAAATATTTTCAATAATGTATCCTATTTATACAGGTTTATACAGTATCATTTGTTATTAATATATTTATTATTAGGATATTGCAATGATGGCCTACTTCACACAATCATGACATTCAGACAAATATTTACTGGTAACAGCTGCATAATTGGCCAGTTATCATAATAATGACAAACTGTAGGGAATTTATAAGTGGTGGAAGTACGGAGGAGATAAAAATGCATGTGAATTAAAAAATAGATGGGTAAAAAAGATGTGAGATGAAAAATGGAGTGATAAATGAAAAGATTTGATTAATTTAAAGCTGATTTGATTAAACAGTCGTAATATGATAAAAACAGAGCCACGTTTCATTAGTTCCCCTGTCTTACATTCATCATTCACAACACAAAATCGCCATCTATCAATTAAGAAAAGTGGCCTCAAGGGTTGGAGTAAGAAATAGTTGGAAAGAAAATGAAGTGATGATAATGCCTACAGTTTAATAATAATGGAATAGAATAGAGTTATACATTGTTGATTTGATAAACTTGATTGACATTTTATTTGAAACAGTGTTGCTCTGATAATCCACTGGGCTGTGTTACTGTCTACTATTCATCATTCACAATACCCAACTGACATTTATCTTCTACAGCAAGCCATTACTGTTGCTTCTGCCCAAAATGTCAATCAAACACCATGCCCACTTCCATATGACAAAAGCCTTGACGACATATGATAGCTACAGAAGTTTGAC